AGAGAGAGAGAGAGAGAGAGAGAGAGAGAGAGAGACACACACACACCTCTGAGAATCGTTCAAGCTGCTCTCTGGGAACAGGTGGAGTGCTCGGTTCTTCCTGCTCGAGCCCCTGGAAAAGTATGTTTCAATAAGTTTTGTTTGCTAAACACTATGAGAAATACTGGTGGGGGAAAATAAAATAATAGTATAAATTTCAATCATCTCCCTCCTCATAAGTTATCTGCCTAAGAATTACCATTAATTAAACAATTTCAGCACCTTTTAAACATACCTCTCTTCGTGCTATTGCGCCATTCACATCCCTAGTATATGATGAGTCCCGATCTCTGCTTTGCATAAATTCAGATGCCAAGGCCCGGGTGATTAATGCAAGGAGGTCCTGCTGTGTCTGAGTAGACGGAAGAAAAATTGGATTCATTTTGAAATGTACATGTTTAGTCATCTCCACAGTATCTAATTTCGTTTGTCTCCTTTAAGTGACAAACTATTTAACATAAAAAAACATAAAATAAAACATACATCAATCTGACAACTTGCCATCGTAATCCTGATATCCGACTTTGCTTGAATCCCAGGCTGTGTTCCTGGGTTGTAGTTGCCGGGCACTGTTGAATATGCTAGCGTAGGCCCACCTGGTGCCATGGGGACACTTGGAGGGGCACTGGGTGGCACTCTCCCATTCTGAGACTGGTAGTTCAGCATCAAGGTCAAGCCTTCAACAACTTGTTTCATTTGAGCCAGGTCCTGGAAGTTCCGTAAGAATAATCTGGGACAATCAATAGCAGCAGACACATGGTATGATACATGTATGATACAAGAAGGGGAAGAAAGGGAGGGAGGGAGAGAGGGGGGAGGGAGAGAGGGANGGGAGGAGGGGGAGCGAGTGAGTAAAGGGTTACAATTTTTTTTTCTTTTTTTTCTCTCCCTCTTGTGATAATTGGCGTAGAGAAGACGTGGTATGTCGTCTTGATATTTTTGCTTCCTATCTTTTTTTTTCATTTTTCCAATCTCTCTTCTTAAGTCTTTGATGAAAGGGAGACAAAAAGAAAGGGATGAATTAAGGTCGGGGTTATTAAATTAATATCCGCCATTCACTTGCTCTTGCGTTGTCTCGCATCGGTCGATTCTTGGTGTCTATCTGTCTCTCTTTCTTTCTCTCTGTCTTTCTTTCTCTTTCTTGATTATTTTCTTTCTCTCTCGCTCCTTCTTACTTTCTTTCTCTCTTTCTTACTTTTTTTCTCTCTCTTTCTAACTTCCTTTCTTTCTTTCTTACTTTCTCTGTCTCTCCCTCTTTCTCTTCCCCGCATTCTTGTATATGTCATTACTTTCATCATATTTATATTACCCTTTTTCGCGTCACCACTGTGTACTTTGCTCCGGTTGGCCACTCTCACCTGACACGCCGGCATGTACAGAGGAATCCTAGGCACACACACACACACAGAGGTATACAGTATATTTGCACGCATACACACACTCACACAAAGGTATACAATGTATTTGCACACACACACACATACAGAGGTATACAATGTATTTGCAAGCATACACACACACACTCTCTCTCACACACAGAGGTATACAATTTATTTGCACGCATACACACACACTCTCTCTCTCACACACACAAAGGTATACAATGTATTTGCAAGCATACACACACACTCTCTCTCTCACACACACAGAGGTATACAATTTATTTGCACACACACACACACACACACACATACAGAGGTATACAATGTATTTGCACGCATACACACACACTCATTCTCTCACACACAGAGGTATACAATTTATTTGCAGACACACACTCACACACACACAGGTACACAATTTATTTACAGACACGCACTCACTCACACTCAGAGGTACACAATTTATTTGCACACACACAAACACACACAACAAACACATATATATATGCATATGTTGTAGTGGGATATCTTATTCGGTTAAGTATCGGGAGAAAGTTGTGACTCGATAGCACTCTACCTCTCCTTTGCCGACTGCAGCTGTTTCATCGCCGTTAGACAACTTACCTGAAAGAAAGAAAATAAAACGTTAATACATACAAACATTAATAATTATTAGCGTCGAGTAAACATAAATTGTTCTTAACTAAATAGATTCCAAAATAGAAAAAAAGTTAATGGGTAGAACAATAAAAATAATCAAGACACACGAACACACAACACACACACCACACACACACACACACACACACAACACACACACACACAACACACACACACACACACACGCACATATTTCCGGGCCTTCACACGTTCAGTTAAAGATCTTTCATGTGCGATTGCTGAACGAGTCAAAACTAGTATTTCTCAACGGGGGATTCCCGTCCAGGAGATAATTTTTCGGCATATGGATCACGTAGCAAATTTTCGATTTGTTATAGTATTAAAGGTTTTGTGAGAGAGAATGGGGTGGGAGGGAGAGAGAGAGAAAGGGAGAGAAAGAGGGAGAGAGGGATGGAGGGAGGGAGGNTCTCCTCTCTCTCGTGGTGAGTGTGCTTGTTTCGAAAGGCTTATGGTGTCTTTCGTGGTTGTGATTCAGTTTTACATTTCAAACGGCACGTTGTTCTTTGTACTTTTCATGTTTGTCTTTTCGGGTTCCTGTACATTCCATCGAAAGGATTTTGACATTTTTTTCACTGTTCATTCCACTGAAAGGTTTCCACCATTTTTTCACTGTTCATTCCAATGAAGGTTTTTCCCCCTTGTTTCGAATCGTAAGAATGCATTTCGTGTGTCATTCCCAAAACCTGTCTTGCCCGTTGCAGTTTCACCTTTTATTTTCGTTGCTAAATATCCATCATATGTTAACAGACCTCGAAGGCGTTTAGGATGATCCACTTCCTAGACCCACTTTATTTATTTATGCTCTCTATGGGCTTGGCTTGTGCTTCTCCGATCTTGACCTCGATTCATTCATTCCAAGTTCATCTGCTGCTTTATTTGTGTGGGTGTGTGTGTGTGTGCTGATGTGTGCTGTGTGAGTGTGTGTTATGTGTGTGTGTGTGAGTGGTGTGTGTGCGTGTGTGTGAGTGTGTGCTGTGTGAGTGTCTGTGTGTGAGTGAGTGTGTGGTGTGCGTGTGCGTGTGTGTGGGTGTGGGTGTGGTGTGGGTGTGTGCGTGTGGTGTGTGTGTGTGTGGGTGTGGGTGTGTACGTGAGTGCGTGCGTGTTTATTTATTATACTAATGATGCTGATGACGATTATAATCTTCCATTCAGCAACAAGCCATAAACCGTATAAAGAACAGTTTAAAAGAACATCTTGGAACAATTTACGAAAAATAATTAGAAAAAATTACGATTACAGTACCTCAAAGTTTTAAAAAATGACTACTAATGACGAAGACAACGAAGAAGAATAACGAACATGAGAAATGAACGGAAAGGAAAAAAATCCAGAAAAAACTATAAGAATATTCAGAAAACCAAAAAGACCTAGAAAAAAAAACATAAAACACTCAGAAAACCCAAAATAATTCAAGAAAAAAGAAAATACTCAGAAAACCTAAAAGAATTCAAGGAAATAAAACTATAAAAATACTCCGAAAAATCCCCCCAAAAAATAATTCTAGAAAAAAAACTATTAAAATACTCCGAAAATCCCCCCCAAGAAAAGAATTCTAGAAAAAAAAAATATAAAAATACTCAGAAACCCCAAAAAGAATTCTAGAAAAATGCTACAAAAATACTCCAAAAAAAAACAAAAAGAATTCTAGAAAAAAAATAGCTATAAAAACACTCCGAAAACCCCCCCAAAGAAGTGAGACAGCAATCCCGAAAAGCGAAAGATCGAAGCCCCCGGAGCCCAGAGCGAGGGCGGAGGGAAGCAAATACGAGAGAGACAATTAACTGCTGGCCCAAACACAGCGGCTTCCTCCAGGCCAAGACGAACCGCGCAATAAAACGGCCAATAAACACCTTTCTTTGCCTCCCTCCTCTCCTCCTCCTCCTCCTCCTCCTCTCTCTCCTCCTCCTTCCTCTCCTCCTCCTCCTCTCCTCTCCTCCTCTCCTCCTCCTCCTCCTCCTCCTCCTCTCCTCCTCCTCCTCCTCCTCCTCTTCTCTTGCTCCTCCTCCTCCTCCTCTTTCTCCTTCTCTTGCCTCTCCTCCTCTCTCCTCCTCCTCCTCTCCTCCTCTCCTCCTCTCTCTCTCTCACTCCTCCTCTTCCTCCTCCTCGCCCACACGCCCTTCATGTACTCCTTCGTTCTTTTTTTTTCTGTCTCTGTCTGTCTGTTTTCTTTGTCTGTCTGTCTCTCTCTGTCTCTTTCTCTCTCCCTCCCTCCCTCCCTCCTTTCTTCGTCTCCCGCTGCCACTTACTTTTTTCTCCCCTTCTCTCTTTCCTTCATTTCTTCCCTCTTTCTCTTCATCCCTTCCATCCTTCTCTCCTCTCCCCTCATTCCCCTCCATCCTCTACCTCTGTTTCCAAGTTTCTCCTCGCCCCCCCCCCCTCCTCCCGCTAACATTCCTTCTTCCATCTGCCCCCTCCTCCCCGCCATCCCTCCTTCCCCCGCATCCCTCTTCCCTCATCGGCCTCCTCTTCCCCATTGGCCCTCCTCCCCCACGCCTCCCTCCTCCCCCAATCCTCCCCCTCCCTCCGGGTCAGAGGAAAACAATCGGCTAGGAGAAGGGCAGACCTCAAAATCCTTCCCTGAAATCCTTTGCTGGAATCCTTTCTTCCACTGAATCCCAGAGGTTTAAATGCAAATATCCTTGGGGGGGGGGGGTCCTACATACTAGGCTGAAAGGCTGCTCTTTGCTCTCTCTCTCCTCCCTCTCTCTTCTCTCTCTTCTCTAACTCTCTTTCTCTCTCTCTAACTCTTTCTTTCTCTCTCTAACTTTTCTCTCTTCTTTCCTCTCTCTCTCTCTCTCTCTTCTCTCTCTCTCTCTCTCTCTCTTCTCTCATCTCTCTCTCATCTCTCTCATCTCTCTCTCTCTCTCTCTCAGCTCTTCTCTCTCTCTCCTTTCTTCTTTCTTTTCTTTCTTTCTCTCTTCTCTCATCTCTGATACTTTCTCCTCTCATATATATATATATCTCTCAATCCATCCTACCTCCCTCCCTATCCTCCACAAAAATAAAACTATCAACATCACAAATCGCTACTCCTCTCAACTCTCGTCATATCTGGCTCCCCTCTCACAATATCACAGTCATACGCCTATACTCCTCCGCTAACTCTCTCAATCTCAAAAACACTACACTTTCTCTTCATCCTCAAGTCTCTCAAATATCTCTCTCTCTCTCAGACATCACAGACATTGAATACAGGCACTGAGATATAAACGGAATAGAAGAGGATAAAAAAGTGCTTTTACGTACAATATGCATTAGTGTAGAATATATAATTTGTGTGTGTGTGATGATATGTGCTTCGATTCTTTCGAGTCTGCTGTTTATATCTTTTGGTTATATTTCCGAGTATTTTTGTAGTTCTTTTTTCTAGGCTACTTTTTTTCTTTTCGTTCATTCCTCTTCTTCGCTGTTTTCGTCATTAGTTGATTTTTTGAAAACCTTAATGTATTATAATAATTCTCTTTTACCCTTTTTTTTTATTTATTTATTTTTTTATATTTTTATAATGCTGTATTTTGCTTTTTGCTAAAAGAGATATAACTATCATTATCATTACGTGACTCTCATTAGGCCACACACACACACACACACACACACACCACACAACACACACACACACACACGCACACGCGCGCGCGCGCAAGCACGCACACACAACACACACACACACACGCAAACGCACAACAAACACAGCACAACACACACACACACACACACACACACACACACACACACACACATCACACACACACACACACACACACACACACACACACACACACACGCACACACGCAAGCACACACACACACACACACACACACACACACACACACAAACACACACACACACAACACACACACACACACACACACACACACACACACACTACCCCTTACGCCGACATACCTAAAGTCTCGGTAAGTACATTCCTACAAGAAATTTATGGCATCAAAGTGGGTATAACCTTCTGGCGATAATTCCATCATATATATATTTACTCATCGGGTAAAAACAAAGACAAAAAAGGGAAGGAAAAGTGCATTAGAAAGAGCGATATTAATTTCTCTCCCAAGTGCACCTGTTGCCATATCTCCAGGGCGTCAGGTTAGTGGGGTTGGGGCGGGGGTGTGTTTAGGGGTGGGGGGGGGGGAAGTGTGGGTGGAGGGTAAGGTGTGTGTGCGGGCGGGGTGTATTTAGGGGTGGGGGAAGGAGGGATGGGGCGAGAGGGAGAGAAAAAGGTGAGGAAGGAGAGAAAAAGGCTTGAGGGAGAAAAGAAGAGAGAAGGACATGGGAGAAACAAAAAGAGAGGAAGAGAGATAGAAGGGTAGAGAGAAGAGGTAGAAGGTGAAAGAGAAAGGAGGCGAAGAGAGAGAGACAAGGTGAAAGAGAGCAGACAGAAGGGGAAGAGGAGAGACCAGCAGGGAAAGAGAGAGAGGAGACAGAGAGAAGGAAAGAGGGAAAGAGAAGAGACAGAAGGAAAAGAGCGAGAGACAGAAGGGGAAAAGAGAGAGAGAGAGAGACAGAAGGGGAAAGAGAGAGAGAGAGAGACAGAAGGGGAAAGAGAGAAGAGAGACAGAAGCGGGGAAAGAAGGGCAGAGAGACAGAAGGGGAAAGAATGAGAGAGACAGAAGGGGAAGAATGAGAGAGGAGAAGGGGAAAGAATGAGAGAGAGAGAAGGTCGAAAGAATGCAGAGAGGAGAAGAGAAGTTCTCGAGTCGCGTCAGCAGAAGAGAAGATCGAGAGAGCAAGCCTCCCCTCTCTCCAGCTCTTCGCTGTCTCTCATTCTTGTCGTCTCGCTCGAGCATGAGTCGAGAGAAGATCGCAGAGCAATGCGACAGGAGTAGAGCACGGAACCCAGAGCACGTCTCTCAGATCCCCCTGGTCTCTGCTCGGCTCTCGGCCTCCTAGCCGTCCGATCTCCTCGCAGCATGAGCCTCGGCCGTCTCGGGTCAGACTCCCTTCTCATGCTCCCGGACCCGCGCCCATCGTGCGGTCACTCCTTCTCCCCGAAGCACCCAGCAACACATCTCCAATCTCTGTCTCTGTCCTCTATCTCTCTTCACGGTCACGGTTGAGTACAAGGTCTCCGTCCCTTCGGGACTCGCAGTTGGTTAAGTCTCTGCGTCCGCCTCATCTTGGTCCCTGCGCGAGTCAGATTCTGGGCGCGCTCTCTCGCCCGCCTCACGGTGTTCCCCTTCATCTTCTCTGTTCTCTGCTCATCATCTCTTCCCATTTCTTCTTCCGTCTCTTGTGCGAATTTCTTTCGAAGTTGGCAATTTTCGTCCGTTGACTCTTTGCGCAACCTACTTCTCGCCTTGGCTCTTCTCATATGATTCGATAGCCGCGATTTTTTTTTAAGTTTTTTTTCAATATACCCCACAGTTTTAGCAAACAAACAACAACAACAAATTTCCATTTACTCACACCATACCATTCGTGCATTCGCACGCGATGTATATATATATCTAGTGTTATACTATATATATATATATATTACTATATTAGGGTTCTCATTATATCTTCTGTTTTTCAGTATTCCTATATATGGATTCCCGCATCGCCAACAGTCCTTCCATCCCATCTCTCTATCACACCACCACCAACAACACCACCATCCACACCAACACACACACACACACCACAACAACAACACAACGACACAAGCACACAATATATAATATATCCTATATCTTCATTTTCTATATATATATATATATAATATATAATATATTTATATATATACACACGCCACACAACACAACACACACACACCCCCCACACCACACACCACAAACACACACATCTCCTCCCACCACACACACTACACTACCCACACTCTCCGACTACACACACACATCACACACATTCCTCTCTCCGTCTCCTACCACACAACACACACACATCATCTTTTCCTCTCAATCACACACACACATACATATATGTATATATACTACTATATGATATTTCATTACTATATATACACATATATTATATATATATATATATACATATATATCTACTATATACCACAATTAATATATTATCTTCTACTATATATATATAATATATTATATATATATATATAAGTATATACACATATTTCTATACTATCTCTCTATATATATATATTATATATACTATATATCGTTTATACCATATATCTAATACATATATTATTATAATATATATATATATATATATATATTGGTATATAGCTTCACACATATATACACTATATATACCCATCATATATACACCACATATACGCACACACCACCACACCGACACACACCACACACACACCACACACATCACATCACACCACTCACACACACACAACACACACCACAACACCCACAAACATTCACACACACACACACACACACATATCGTTTATTCTCTATCTATAATATCTATATATATATCATAGTATTCTATATATATTACTATATTCCTGTATATATAATGTTTAGTGTATAATATTTCTCATATATATGCTCTATCCGTACCTATATATCTTGTATACTACTATATATAAATGTATATATCATATGTATATGTTATATTAATATTATATACATATGTCTTATACTTAGTATGCATGGTATTACTATATACTACCATGTTTCTATCTATTTACATTATTATATATTAGTTATTACCTATATATTATTTAACTATATATATTATTTCTGTATAATATATATATGTATATATTTATATATGTACTATGTATTATATATGTACTATCTTATATGTATATATATATATACTATTATATTATATATATCTAGTCTCTCTATCAGTATCTATATTACATGCTTATATGTATATATATATTCTCCTGTATTACTATGTCTTATATATTATATATATATATATATTATATATATATATAGCTATATTACCATACTCCTATAATATAATACCCATTTATATATATCATCCATGTATATTATCGTTATATCTAATTATCTACTATATATATATAATATATATATATATATATAGGATAGTATATATTATATACCATGTATAATATGTATATATATACGTATATATATACATACTATATATATACTTACTCACTACTATATACTCATATATTACCTATACTATATATATATACATGTATATCCTGTACTATATACTACTATTATTATCATATATCTATAGTCTATAAGTCTATCACTAAATACGTATATATCTATATAACATGTATATTGTATATGTAACTATATACTATATCATATATCTTGTATACTATATTCTATAGTGTATACTATTATATTATTCATCTCTTATAATATACATTATATTTAATGATATGATATATATATCTATTTATAATTAATATTATATATACACTACGTATGTTATATATATTTAATTTTAATTATCAATTTATAATGATATGATATATATAGCTATATATACTACTATATATACTATATAAGTGTACTCTATATATTTTAATAAATATCTATATATATTTGTATATATCTTATATTTATATATATACATATATTTTACTTATATTATTTATATCTAACTATTATATATTATAATATATATATGATCTATATCTATATATGATTAATATATATAACCCATGATATATATATATATATTTACTTACTAATATATATATAGATATATCTATATTATTATCATATATCTATATCTAGATATATACTTATTAATCACTTATAATTAATCTATTATAAAATGTATGGATATTACTCATATTCGTTTACTTTATGTATTTTTTATTATAATATACTTTTATATTATATATATATATATTATATATACTCGTATATATATTCATATCATTATCCATCTATACATTATATTTAATATATAGATCATATATATATAATATATATATATATTATATATATATTATATCTATGGTTATATATATATACTTGCCCTAACCTTGAAAGAGCGGAAAGGTTACCTCCCGTCCAAAAATAGTGGAGAGGTCGCGGGAGGGGGCGGCGGAGCGCGGCGAAGAAGCGAAAATATGAAAAGGGAGGCAGTGATGGAGGCGGGGGGGGGGGTAAGGGGAGGGGGGGGGCAGAGGTATATTATAATGTTTTAATGGCGTCTTGATTGAGCGAGACGGTTTCCTATTGGTACGAGGAGGGGTGGGGGTGGGGGGAAGGGTGAGGGAGAAACGGAGAAGGGAGGAGGAAGGGGGAGGCTTGGTGGAGGTTGGGGGAGGTTGGGGAGCGGATGGGGGGGGGGTCATCATGATCCCTTTTTTATACATTTTAGAAATGACCGAGGTTTGTAGTGATTTTTTGAAGTTTTTTTTTTTTCTTTCTCTCTGTTTATGATTATATATATATATATATATATATATATATATATTATATATCTATATATATTATATTTATATATATATATATTATATATATTTATATATTATTATATATTATATATTATTTATATATATTAATATATATATAGTATTACATATCAACATATACACATTACAACACACACACACACACACACACAACACACCACACACACCACACACATACACGGGCACACACTCACTCACGTCATCACTTGCACTCACTCACTACATCACTTCCTCATCATCACTCACTCAGCTCACTCACTCACTCACAACACCACACACGCCACACACACACACACCACACACCACACACACACAACACACCACACCACACACTGTACATATACACACACACATATATATATATTATATATATATATATATATATATATATACTATATAGTATATAATTTTGCACACACACATCACACACACACACGAACACACACCACACAACACACACACACAGACACACACAACAACACACACACACACACACACACACACCACACACACATACATACATATAGAGAGAGAAAGAGAAGAGAGGACAGAGTTAGGCATAGACGGATATAGATAAGCTATAGATAGGCAGATAGATAGATAGATACACATTCGCGCGTTCCTTGTCGTCGTTGTTTGGAAATAGCGCTGGGGCGGCTGGCACGGAGCGCGTGCAGGCTGCGTCCATTAAGTGCAGGGCGGGATGAGGAATTTATGTCGCTCTCGGCGTCAAGCGATGGATGGGAGGGGGTGGGGGAGAGGGGTGGGTGGGGTGGGTGGGGCAGTGAAGAGTGGGGGTGTGGTGTGTGGGGAGGGGGAGTGAGGAGTGGGGGAGTGGGGAGAAGGGGTGTGGGAGTGGGGAGGGGAGGAGCGGGTGAGGGGTGGAGCGGGTGGTGGGGAGTGGGGGATAGGGAGAGTGGGGAGTGGGGAGAGGAGAAGGGAGGGGGAGTGGGGGCCGCTCTTACGGGTGATGTCCCTTCCGCCGAGTGGCACTCGCATCAGTGCCGTGCCAGCTGGGGACGGCGCGGAGGGGGGGGGAGGGGGCGGACGCGGTGTGGTACTCATCATGGGGTGAGGGGGAGGGAGAAAGAGGGGGGAAGAGAAAGAGAGGGGAGAAGGGGGAAGAGAAAGAGAGAGAGAGAAAGAAAGAAAGAGAGGGAGAGAGATAGAGAGAGAGAAAGAGAGGGAGAGAGAAAAAAAGAGGAAAGAGAGAGAGAGAGAGAAAGAGAGAGAGAAAGAGAGGGAGAGAAGAGAGAAGAGAGGGAGAGATAAAGAGAGAAAGAGAGGGAGAGATAGAGAGAAAGAGAGAGATAGAGGAGAGAGATAAGCGAGAGAGAGAGGGAGAGATAAAGAGAGAAAGAGAGGGAGAGATAAAGAGAGAAAGAGAGAGGGAGAGAGATAGAGAGAGAAAGAAGAGGGAGAGATAGAGAGAGAGAAGAGGAGAGGGAGAGATAGAGAGAGAGAGAGAGGGAGAGATAGAGAGAGAAAGAGAGGGAGAGATAGAGAGAGAAAGAGAGGGAGAGATAGAGAGAGAAAAGAGAAGGGAGAGATAGAGAGAGAAAGAGAGGGAGAGATAGAGAGAAAGGGAG